TTTCTGTCCATAAATCCCTGTTGACCAATGAGAGGTCATGGTGCTTCAGGCTGTTGAATGTGACAGGAGCTTTGCACCTCTGTGCTTTTTTGACACTCAGAATGGGAGTATAATTATCAGCGGTGTAGGTGACTCGCAAGCGGGGTCATGGCAGGATCTGTCAGCAGTCAGGACGGTGTAATTGGCTCACAAAGCACTAAGCATGAGTATTAATAGACTTAAAAGGTAATTAAAGGTGTGGCTGCAGGCTTTTGGAGAGACGTTGGTAGGAGCTTTGGTAGGAGATGTAATAGGGCTATGTCATACTCATCCTTTTTTTTTAAATGGCCTTCAAATACTACTTACTACCTGTTGGAGTTCAAGTTGGAGGTTCAAAACTATTTATTACAAAGTAGAAAAAAAAGTCTTAGTGGAGGATCTAGAACTGACCCTGATTCACAGCTTACATATGGAGAATTTGGTAACAGCGTCAGTTTGATCTGATGCCGAAGCAGTGTGACGCCTCAGTCATTACGAGCAGCTTTGATTTCCAGCCCAGAGTTTAGCGCTCCATGAGTGAGGATCTTTTATTCTCATGTTATAAAACACCTCTCATGTGAACAATAGCATGTTCCACTTCATATTTTTCTTTGATGCAGATCCTTTTTTCCCCATTTGAGTTAATTATAAGAAACAATGATCCCTGGAGAGGAGTACGACTCTTCATTTCTGTCCCTCTTGACATTTGCTTGCTGATGTTTCAGAATGTAATTCTCCTCAGGCCTTGTAATTCATCTCTCTTTCTTTCCTCCTCTTCTACATCCTTTTGGGTCTTATTTTCTTTACAGCCTGGTCAGCCCTTGAAATGAATGATTGGAAGACGGCACGGTCCATCTTGTGGTGCCTGTAGTGAGCTTTTAATCCAGCGAGAGGCACTATATGTTCAGAGTGAAAGGATCACTTCATATAGTCTGATTTTTTTTTCACCCAGATGAAAAGACTCCCTTAGTGCTCCTGTACCTCCATCCTCAGTCCTTCCCCTCAAGTCCACCACGCCAGACCTACTTTGGCCCAGAATGTCTCTCTAGTTCCATGTGAACGGGGCATGATGGCCGCAGCTGCTTGGAGGGGAGGTCAGCAATTAGGGTGCAAAAGGCACAGCGGTTTAATGGGAGAGTGCATTACCATTGACAGCAATGAGTGCACTAATTGGGGCTAATTAGTTCGCTGAAGTTGGGATCGATAAATATTGCATACGTTTGTCAAAAGGAAGCCTCACTTCGCAGATGGCGAGTTGGCGACTGTGTGTCTTGGCAACGGAGGACAAAACTGCTGCGTTACCTTTTTTCCCCGTCTGTTCTACGGGTGCATATGGTGCGTTCGGTGTTTTTAAGACGAGCTTCCTCCTCTTCCGAGAAAGAGCGGAATTAATCACGTGCATCCGATTTACTTCCACCTGTAATATAATGGCCACATTAACGATAGTATAATTTAATCAGAATTGAGTGGCGGTATAATTTAATCAAATTAGAAACAAACAAGTAGATTCGCTTGTCTTCAAAAAAAAAAAAAAAAACATAGTTAGCGGCTTCGAAGAAACCCCCACTGCGAAAATGATTCAGAAGAGCTTCTTTGCACTACAAGTTAATAATATATTGCAATTTGTTAATTAAGGGCAAAATGCATGGGAGTTTGGGTGTTTTCCCAACACAGATTAATCACTGAAATGAGAGAGAGGCCTCGTGCGGGTTTATGCCCGGCAATAATGAAATAAAGACAGCATGCTGTTTTAAGAGAGACAGAGAGAGAGAGAGAGAGAGAGAGAGAAAGAGACTTGCATCGGGAGCAAAAATCAATAGCAGGTTGGGTGGTGAAGCCTGAACTCCTCCATTAGCCTCTCCAAACGCCTCATCCTTTCAACAGTGTTTCATTTCCACTCATCCTCCCTTCTCCTCCTTTTTCCCCTTGCACCATTTTTTTCCCCTAGCCCCTGGATGAATGGGGCGCAGAGGCAGTGCCCTCGGGCTGCCATGAGCGTTTGAGAGATGTCGACTCATCGTAGCGTGGTACAGTTCATCCCTCCATGCCCAAGGAAGACAGATAAAAAAGGGATGAAGAAAACCAGGATGGGCCAAAAAAAAAGAGAAAGGCTGGATGATTCAGGCTCACTTTTAATTTTAATTACTATTATTTTTTCAGTACCTTTTATTGGGTCCATATCAATTTTTTCTCAGACAGAGGGACAGAAGAAGAAAGTGCGGGAATGAAGAAACGAGAAAAAGGGAGCGTTTCAAAGAGTGAGAGTGATGCGAGGCCCACGCTGAGTGCACCAGCAGGAGGTGGTCTCTGAGCTCACAGCCATTGAGGCCTGATAAAGACTTCTCAAAAGGCGCCTTTGTCCATCCTCAAAACTTCTAGGCTTCACTAAGGGGAAGGAACGAGACAGAGAGTGAGGCAGAGGACGAGTGAGGGAAATTGGAGCGAGAGATTCCTCCATGAGAGCAATACTAATAATTGAGCATGTTTGCGTGTGTGCTTATGCATGCATGAACAGCGTGCCTCGTGTGAGTCTGTCAACCATTTTGTGTTGAATGAGATTTTTAACTCCGACTCATTAAAATCCAGTCCTGGTCATTAAACATCTCATTCATTTCTCGGAAAGACGACGATGGCCTGGTCTAATTTCTCATTATTCACCCTGAACTAATATTCTTCCAATTTCCCAACAGTGTAATCCATCTCTCTCTTTCCAACTCATCTTCAAACATCTGAAGGATGAGGAGAAAAATGGCTCACAGTGGATATGATTACATTTCTCAGCCAGGTGTTACACGGTTAATCCAGATTTTATGTAATGGACTTTAAGAAAGCGATGGGTGAAAATCTTCCTGTTAAAGGAAAATAATCAACACCACGGTGTTGTGAAGAAGCAGAGTTACTGTTACCACCCAAAGAAATTGATTAGTTTTCTATAACAGCACATCCCGGGATGTTTTATTCCCCTTCTAGCACAAGAATTTGCCAATGATTAAATTTTTTTGATTAATGAATGACACATTGCACTTTTTATCCATTTATAGTTACATTTAATGTTGTGGAACAGCAAGTTAGTTCCTGTTTACACAGCAAGTTAGTTCCTGTTCTCTCTTACCTTATAGCAGCTATAAATAGTCACTCCCTCACCTTTTATTTCTCTAAGTTAATAAGACACGCTGGTAAGCATGATGGAAAACGTACTGAATGTTACAAATCACTGAGCCTGGAGACTCCTTCCATAAATGAAAAATATCAAAAAGCAGAAAACCCCATATCAATGATTACATATTTTTATTTATTAAATAACAGCATGTGAGTATCTTTTATCCACGTTCCTGTGTAAGCTGTCAGAGCTGCTAGAAAATAAATCAACCTTTGACTCAGAGTTCAGCAGAGCTATAGACATTGCATGATTGGACATTAAAACTTAATTTTTACCACTTGTTTAATTTCTATTCTTATTTCTTACCAAGATTTTCAAAACCTTGGTCAGACTTACCTTCTATATGGAAGAGACTACTGAATGTTTGGTATTATTATTATTATTATTAATAGAATTTACAAGCTTATTTGAGAGTCCGTGTTCTACATGGTGAAATGTGATGTCCATTGGCAGGTCTATGACAAACATGGGGTGTCTAAGACCTGTACTGCTTCAGTATCTGCATTGCGCAAACAGAAACAATCTTAACTGTTGGAAATCAGATTTTGTAGTCTGTGTACCGCTATCAAATTCTAAAATATCCACTCTGTCTTTAAATATTTCGGATGTCAACGCTCCTACAGTCCTGAGTATTCCTGCTCATGGCCTTGCTGGAAAAGTCAAGGATAGTCTGAACAAAAGTCCTCCTCTCTTCTTTTATCCATTCAAATATCCATATCGCTGTCAGTTCACTATTGGCCTTTGAATGGTATTGAATGATGGTGTGATAATGCAGTAATTGTCCTGTGTCCCAGATGAGCGTATGGTCTCGTGAACTTTTTCACCACTTGAGGTGATTTGCATCAGGCACATGCTATTTATTTTTCACTGCAAACCGTAGAACCTATTTAATGTTATCTAAAATGTCTATTAAGCGTACAAGGAAATGTAATTATGAAAAAGAGCCATATATAAATCTAAATTCTGTTATGACTCATGTCTTAAAATAAAAAATATAAAATGCGTGGTGAAACGAGACTGTGTTAGCTTTGATTAATTATTTATTTATTGTTTAAGTAGTGGATGCACACCACCTAACCTATGCATAAAATAAAATAAACTAAATTAAATTAAAATACAGCAGCGTCCACAACCTACAACAGAAGTGGCTTTGAGTTCCCATTTTTTGCACGACTTTACCATGTCACTATTTACACATGTATACAGAGGAGACGAAAGCAAACCGATCCGTAGAGCTAAGCCTGGAAAACCAAAAGGCAAGTCGATGGACAGCACAGAATGAGCTCCTGCATATCTGCATATATTTTTTATATACATTAATGCAGCATTCAGCAAGCTTTCCCATAGACACAGATCCACTCAGTCAGAAATAAATGCACATTCGATTTCAGAATTCCAGCCTGTTGCTCATATATATATCCTTACTGTTTACGTCTTTCTTTCCTGTGCTATCCAACCTCTCTCAGCTTCCCTTCACTTCTCTCTCTGTTCAAAAGAAGAGCATGAAAAACATCTTTGTTTCAGAAGCTTTGGAGTGGCTTTGGCAGGGGACAGGCCTTCTCCCTTCTCCTTGTTCTGCTCTGTGATGCCCTTTCTCAGATGTACTCAAGGACCAGCTGGGCTTCACCTGGCAGCTTCACATTTCGGGCCGCTCTGCCTGCTGTACAGGGCTCGGTTTCACAAAGTTGGCGTAGCAGAGAAATCTGCTAACGATAGCAAATGGTAAAGTAGGTTTCATGAGTGATTTGCATTCATACACACACCTCTGAAAGAAGCGTTTACATATCAAAAGCGTTCTTCCTCATGCAGTGGTGTGAAAATGGAGGGTGGTAGCTCAGTGGTTAAGCCTTCTGGCTACCGATCAGAAGGTTATGAGTTAAAACCCCAGCACTGTCAAGCTGCCACCTTGGGGACCTCAAGTAAAGCTCCTTAACCCTGTCTGCTCCAGGGGTGCTTTTATAAGCACCAAAAGGATTTACCAAAAAAAGGATTTCCCTGCACTGTACTTGTATTACAGTTCGACACTGTACTTATAGGTATGTCTTCTTCTAAAATAATTTCCATCCACATTGAAATAGCAGGATGACAGGAAGTGATGATTAAAAGTTAGCTATTCGAGTCAAGAAACGGGTGTTGTTTGAGGAAAGATGGTTTTAATTTTGCTAAATTTTGCTCAAAAGCGTCACTACATGTATGGTTGTCTGTCGTACACATTATTGAATACAAAATGTCAGTTGTAATATCGTAACCAAAACCGATAGCACTATTACATTTGAATAATCTCTTCCTCTGGTCGCCCATTTTTTCCCCAAATTCCCACCCACCAGCCAGCTATCCCCTATCATACAACAGCTAGCAACTGGAAAGGGTGAGGGCTAACACTTACTTCCTCCAACACACCAGCCTCATCTTTCCAAACTGCTGCTCGTGCTGCATCACATGGCAGAATAACACACTCAGACAAAAGTGCTGTCTGGGTTCTTCCACATATACAAGAGAAAGTATGCCATTCTTCCTAACCTTGGGGTCTGACCACATATGGATGTGGCATTTGTCCCGAATATACGGCGAACACTTTTCTTTTCTCTTTCTCCATTCTGTATGTGTTGGAACTAAGATCATAGGACAATCAGGGGCTTATCTTGGAACTACAGACATCAGCATATTCAAAAATATATAGTTCCCTTGAGTCATACTACAGCATGAAAACTATGTGTTTATTTTAACAAAATGATGTGTTTTATTTGGTCAAAACCAGTTTCCATTGAAACAATGTTAAAAAGCAGAAAACTTTCAAATGCTCCTTCAAAAATGGATTCTTATTCGTGTCTCAGAAATCTCTTTAAAATGTAAACTGAATTACTGTACATTTATTGTTTTATGAATCTTGTCAATATGGCATACACTGATAATCAGCTACACTATACCACAATAGTCAGCACAAATGCAGTATATGGTGCATTTAAGGGGAAGGTGCTTTGGTAAGCAACATTTTTGGATGTTTTATGCACTCCAAAGAATGCCCATTCCTTTCAAAATTCAGTTTAAATATAGCTTTTTTCTGACATTTCTTATTTTATACAAACTTGAAGGCAGCATTGCATGAATCCTTATCACAAAGTTAATCCCATAACTTTACTGTACAAGCACGCTCTGAGAACTCAAGCAGTATTTAATATCCACATGCCTACGTGTCACTTGATGGGTCTATTAGGCGCTAACATTACAATAACGCTGTCAAAAATGGCTCCACAATGTCCTCGTGTACAGTAGGCAGCCAGAAGTTGCTGTAAATATTCATATTTCTGCCACACAGTTGCAAAATGACTGTGTGTCTTTCTGTTGTCCCGGTCCCCATTAGCGACTTGTCATGTCACATCTGCAATCCATCAGCGCGCCCTCTGTGTTGACGGCTTGACTTAATCTTGAGATATTTATTACAGCAGGCTTTTGATAAACCTGTAATTATCAAGGGGGGAAGAAAAGGAAAAGCAGTTACATAGAATCAAATAACAGAAGCATAAGCGACACAGCTCAGGGAACGGGGTAATATTAGCCGACTACAATTCCTGCATCTGAAGCTTATTTAATGCTGGGGGCCTGATCAATTCTATTGATCTGAGAGAGAGAGAGAGAGAGAGAGAGAACCTTTCTTTATCATATGCACTGTTTACAAATTCCCAGTTACACCGCCGGCGTTCGTCATAAATTTACAGCAAGTTAATGATGGCCTCCTGTCATACTTTTACAGTACCATTGATTAAAACATTAGTGCTCTAATTGACTGTGCTGATCGATCCGATTCTCACTGCTGCCGCTCAGGCCTGCAAGAGGACAAACCGGCCGGCGGAAAAACCAAATACCTCGTTTCCTCTGGAGATCGAGCTGCTGATTAAGGTCTGGGCAAAAGGAAGAAAGTCGAGGCCAAGGACGAGAAGCGCGAGGCACACGGACGTGTACCCCACGAATCACAAGCGCATTTAGCTCACTCAGGGCCATGTGCATTGTATTGTGTTACGGCAAAGTCTGTTCAGATGTGAGAGTTTAACCGTAGGCAGCAGACTGAGGGAGTCTGTAATGGAAAAGTTGTTCAGTTTTTTTTTTTTTTTTGGCATCCTATAAGAAAAGGATTGCAACATTCACTGGATTGCAATACATTGCAGCAGAATCATATCTCTGTTGGCTTTATAATCACATTTATTTAGATATAAATGTCAAAAAATTGTCCCGAGACGTGCACACCTACTCTGTGAAACTGAAGCAAACCCCAAGCTTCATTTGGTTTATAACTTTGAATGAAGTCACCCGGGTTGGTGGACGCAGGCTCACTGGGTCTCTTGGCTATATCATTTTGATTATGGAAGGCAAAAAAAACAATTAGTAATCTGAGAAACGCCACTTGGCCCACATTCTTTCCCCCCGGCGTGATGCCTGCGCTTTGTGATTTTCCACAACAAATGAGCCAAATAGCTGATGCTGGACATGTGAGCTGGAGGATTATCTTGTAACCACAACAGATAACCAACTCAGACATTATTTACGGTAGTGTCATAAAAATACGCGAACAGTCAAGGCAAAACAAAAAAAATTCACAACTTTAAATCAGTGCTCCAGAAAAGAAACAATTACATTACTGGTATTTACAATAACCTGTCAGGGGGTACATGACTAATGCTAAAGTTAACAAAACTACTTTTGAGCAACTACATGTTTAGAACAAATTGCTAAAATGCAATCAAAGTGTAATCATAAAAGACCTTGAATGATGAAATATGTTCTCAAAGCCAGAAGATCAACTTGCATTAGGAAACCCATTCATCCGAACATTTCTGCATTTCGCTCTCTAAAAACGAGAGCCACTTCTTAAAAGGCTGCTTTTCTGAACCACTGCCACTTCTTGCACCAGTACTGACCCTGTTTTAGTGTAAAACGCTGTGTGGCACATATTCAGGGCTTTTGGCAGCGTAATACTCCTTGCACTAGTCAGTTTTTTAACTTTTGGCCTTTTCCAAACGCGTCTTGTTGTTGAATATTGTATTTTTCCACCCTTAAACAACTAAAATATGTAAGCCGTACAATACACGATAATCCCTGTATAAAATATAAATGGAGAGCAAATGATTGCTCAATCAGGCCCCGGTGCTCAGTGCAAACCCTTGCCTCATACAGCATGCTGATCTTTCAGTAGGCTAATACTGCACGCAGAATTGAATTATTTTTTTCTGTCATTAGCACAAAAATGATTTTTAGTAGCAGTGCTCCAGCACTGCACAGGCCAATAATGCACCACCATGGACACAGCAAGCCATGGCGATATTATAGAAAATGGACCTTTTTAGTGCAAGTCTATGTCTCTGAAGGGTTTTTTACGCGGAGGTGTGCGTCCCAGCAGTTCTCTTCTCCTCTCAGTCGCCTTTCCAAGCTGCCAATTAGAGGCACTGAGGGCTAGACACCTGCAGTTTTTATAGCTACCTTTCAATTAGGAGTTGCTTTAGGCGAACAATAAAGCCCACTGCTGTGCACAGCCAATGTACATACAGCTTTATTTATTTATTTATTTTATTATTTTTTCATTTCTCAATCTCAATCAATTTAGCAAAGTTCTCAGAACAAAAGTTCAGTGTCCACAAAACACTTAACAGAGTCATCAGAACAAAACACAGCTTGTCACAAGAGCTTTAAAAACTAATTGAAAAATCACACATTGTGAAAATTTTCCTAGAACTTTTATTAAATGCGTGCATTTGCTTCATAAATAGGCAAACACGTCAAGCAGCGAGAAGAGAACGCTTCCACCCGCTCCAGCACATTTATTTTAAGAAACACTTATGTAAATGTTCTCCTCAATGGATTTGCAAAAAAGGGGCTCTTTAGTACATGTTGCATTCAGGAGGAACAGAATCTGGAATTAATTCGAATATGATTTAAGAAGGAGGTAGTATGGTGGTAGAAGAGAGAGAGACCCAGAGAGAGAGATTTATTGTCATTCTAGTTATATACAAGTGTACAGTGGAATGAAATGGTGTTCTCTAAGGCCTCGGTGACAACAGCGCAGTATAAGATAATCACCGGAAAACATGTAGTGTAAATTACAGTGCAAATAGACAACACGATACAAGACAACAAATGCACACTTTGTAAGTAGAACTAGTATAATAAGTAGATCATCATAAATACAGCATGAGGCAACTGTTCAAACCTTAACATGAGTGTTTAGAATGAATATGGATGACGAGATACTCGAAGAACCTGGACAAGAAACTACAGTTATAATCGTTTTAGTTAGACTCGGAGGAGATGATGCACTCACACATACCACCATATCCATTTCATAAAGCGGATGGGTTTTACACATCTCCCAGACGTCTAAATGATGAAGTTGTTAGCTTATGTGACCATTTACAGATCACAACCTCCTGCTTGTCTGGTCATAAAGATATCCAGAAAAGGAGATATGGTGCATGATATCCAGTAGACCTCCACGACTTTATTCCACCTCTCTGTCCAGGAACACAGAGTGTTTCCTCTTCTTATTTTTTGGGAACAGTTTGTATGGAAAAACCTTCAAAACCCATTTTCTACCATATGAAGTCCTGAAAACTCCAGAAAAGTTCTTTCTCAACCAGAAATAAAGTTCTAGCATTTCAAAATCCAAAAGTAAAAATCACATTTAAACATTTAATTCTAATTCCACTGTACATTTGTAGCCTAATCTACTTGCTGCTAAGTTGTAAAAGAAGTTTACAGTGTGACATGACTTTTCACTTTGATTATCAGCAGCATCCACATCAGCCTGTGTCTCATCACCTGAAGTACAAATCACTCATGACGTTGAACCACAAGCCTCATTGATGTCTCTGTTCATGTTAACATCGATGAGGAAACAGTCACTGATT